TCGTATAATCTATGTGAATTATATCGTTATTTGTCACATGGTCAACATTTCTGACTTTCTTAAGCTAGGGGGTCCAATACTTAAGGTCTTTGTAGGAGAAAAGATGCAAAATATTGGAAAAATAATAGGGACGTCACAAGTGCCGTTAAACATCACTTGTATTATTCTGTCTTTAAACACTATTATGAGCCGTCATGACCTGTTCGATCCTCGATAATCGATGATTTGAACTCATTTAAGTTGCAAGATGGACATGTAGTGTACAAAGTTTGAGAGATGCGCTCATCAATTATATTTTCTAACGAATGTAGATAATGACTTGTAATTTCTCCACCCTATATCATATAATTTATATGAATTCTACTGTTATTTGTCACATGATCAATATTTTTGACTTTTTTAAATTAGGGGGTTCAATGCTTGAAGTCGTTGCAGTAGAAAATATGTAAAATATTGGAGAAATCATCAGAACGGCAAAAGTGCCGCATAATTTCTTTGGATTGAGCTGACATCCGTTACGATCGTAATTCAAATAAAAGAATCTCCGTTCCAGAACCGTACGTGAGATTTTCATCTCATACAGCTCCTCCCTTATGTGCATAAGGAGAATAATACATGAAATAAAAAAACGAAAATATTCTCGTTAAATGTCACTTGTGTTGTTCTGTCCATAAACATGAGTATACGTAGCCATGACCCATCCATGCCCCAAGAACCAATAAATTGAATTAATTTCAGTTGAAAAATGGGCATGTCGTTTATAAAAATTGAGAGATGTGCTCATAATTATATTTTCTAACGATTCAATATAATGACTTATGATTTCACCAACTCGATATCATATAACCTATATCAGTTCAATCATTTTTTGTCACGTGATTAATCTTTCTGACTTTCTTAAGTTAGGAGATCCAAAGTTTGAGGTCGTTGCGTTAGAAAATAAGCAAAATATTTGAGAAATCAACAGAACGGCACGAGAGGCGTTAAACAACACTTTTGTCGTTCTGTCTATAAACACAAGTATACACTGCCACGACCTATCCATGCCCCGAGAACTAATAAATTGAACTCATTTAAGTTAAAAGATGGGTATTCCGTTTACAAAAGTTGTGAGATTTGCTTATTAATTTTATTTTTTAACGAATCAATACAATGACTTGTGATTTCACCAACTCGATATCGTATAATCTATGTCAATTTAGCTGTTCTTTTGTCACATGATCAACCTTTCTGACTTTTTTAAGTTAGAGGATCCAAGGTTTGAGGTCATTGCATTGAAAAATAAGCAAAATATTTGAGAAATCAATAGAACGATACAAGAGCCGTTAAACGACACCTGTATCGTTTTGTCTATAAACACAAGTATATGCAGCCACGACCCATCCATGCCTCAAGAACCAATAAATTGAACTCATTTAAGTTGAAAGATGGGAACGTTTACAAAAGTTGTGAGATGTGCTTATTAATTATATTTTCTAACGAATTAATACAATGACTTATGATTTTACTACCTCGATATCGTATAATCTATGTCAAATCAACCATTCTTGTAACATGGTCAACCTTTATATCTTTCTTAAGTTAGGGGATCCAGTGTTTGAAGTCATTACGTTGGAAAATAAGCAAATTATTAGAGAAATCAACAGAACGGCACAAGAGCTGTTAAATGTCACTTGTGTTGTTCTGTCTATAAATACTAGTATATGCAGTCACGACACATTTATGCCCTGATAACCAATAAGTTGAACTTATTTTAGTTGTAAGATGGACATGCCGTTTACAAATGTTGAGAAATGTGCTAATTAATTATATTTTCTAACTAATAATTACAATGATTAGTAATTTCACCAACTCGATATCTTATAATCTATGTCAATTCAATGTTTTTTGTCACCTGATCAACATTTCTAACTTTCTTAAGTTATAGGATCCAATGTTTCAGGTTGTTGCATTAGAAAATAAGCAAAATATTGAAGAATTCAACATAACAATACGAGTGTCGTTATTGATAATGAAACGATACTTTCGTCGTTATGTCTACATACGCGAGTATAAACAACCACAGCTTGTCCGTGTTCTCGATAATCGATAATTTAAACTTATTTAAATTGCAAGATAGACACGCCTCTTACAAAATTTGAGAGATATATTGCCTATTTATTACTTTAATCGCCTATTTATTATTATGTACATATTATACTTGTACTTTCATCAACTTGATAACATATCAGACATATCGTTTTCAACCATTTTTTGCGACATGGTCAATATTTATATCTTAAATACATTAGATAGTCCATTTTTAGAGATCTTTTCATTGAAAAATCAAACTATAGTAAATAACAACTGTAGTGTCATTTTTCGTAGTAGAAAAAGGTTGGAGTACCGTTCTACCTATCAGATAACAATTGGAGCACCATTATTATCCTATAGCTGCAGACAATACAAAAAATAACACCAACTAAAATATTATTTAATAAAAATGTGCAATATACATGAAATTTCTTAAACTGTCCTTCTTCATTCTTCAAATGTAATGAAATTTTTCAACGTAGATAGTATGCTTATCAAACTCTTGTTCAAATTCTTAAAAGATACTCTTGATAATTGGGTTATATGTTCCATCCAGTTATGGCAACAAACGGCAGTAGTTCCGATTTTCTACTCCAAAAACAACAAGAAAATAGACGAAAACTACAAATCCGCCTGCTCATACATCTCTTCATCCTTCCCTGGGCTCTATATGGGTTCAGCAAATCCATGAAACTACGTAGGTAGTTGCAGCACCAAGACGACGATTGTCCATGGGTTACATCAAGAGACAGCAACTTGGAACATCCTGTAAGTGTTTGGTGATTATTGGGGAAAAAAAAAATTTGGCCTCCTCGTCGGACATCATATTACTCAATCTATTACTGTAATGTTGAAATCAAAAGAAAAGGGCAATCGTCCTTCAAATGGAAGAGCCATGCAATCCAACACGGCAACATGACAACATCGAAGCCATGGGAAAGGTGACCCATATCAAGGATAATGGAAAGAGGCAAAAGGTTATTGTTGAAAGTAGTGTAGTGAAAGTATAATCATGTCGCTGAGTTGCACTATCTTAGTCGAAATCTGGTCTTTTTAATTTACAGTTCAGGATGTGCTACTTTTGTAATGAATCTGTGATGTATGGCAGAAATAAAGTTTAAATGGTGACATGTTATTGGTGTGCGTTGGATTTGTATGGCAGATTTCGAATAACTTGTAATGCATTTTTGCTCATTAATTGTATGTTCAGTGTTTTTATATGTTAACTCTTGTGCGACACCATTTTTTGCAAATGTTGCAACGAAAATATATTCATGTTCCCTAATCAATTGAACACGGTGTTTTTGATTGACAGTTCAGGGTGTGCAATATTGCTATGAAATTTATATTAATAGTGTCTTACTCTGTATTTGCATTTTTGTAGAAGATGCTAAATTTTAATTACTGATTGAAGTTTGGTTAAGCTTGTGTATCAATGTCGTGTATATTTGGAGGATTCATTCAGTTGCGTGTTGGACGGTGGTGTTAAGTAATTACCTTGGAGGGGAAATCTGGTGGCCTCTGTTGCAGTTTGACCATTGGTGATGAGTTTAGGAGTCAAATGACCATCTTCTTAATAGATTATGGACATTCATCCTTCTAGAGAATAGAATGCTCGTTCCTTCAAGGATGTTCCAAATTAGAACCACCTGGTGTGTTCGGAGTCTGGTTTTATTTTTGGTTTTAAACAAAGTACATTGGTTCTCGGTTATTAGAACAGTGTGTAAGTTCATTCATGTTAGTGTTTATCGGTTTTTGTACTCGGCCAAATGTGTACAATGAGAGTGAGAATGAAAGACTGTTACACGAGCTCCGAAACCAACTTGCAGTATGTGATCTTTCTCTATTAATGTCCAAAATTTAAGCTTGAAAAGTGGGATATACAATAAGGACAGAAAGATTCCACCATGTATTTCCAATTGGAAGAACCCTAAGGTATACAATACCGCTTGACAAACGTCTGGCTATTGACGGTTGGGGGCTTCAGAATGTTCAGATTAATGACAATTTTGCTAAATTGTCAGAGGCTTTATTTGTTGCAGAGCTAAAGGCTTTGTGTGTGTGTGTTACAATTCAAGATATGGAAGGTCTACAAGTTAGTATTTTGGGATATAATTTATCCCAAATGAGGTAGGAAAGTAGTAATAATTTGCATTTCAGTATTTTTGGCAATTGTTTTTTTTTCCCCACATACAAACGTGAAAATTTCCCAAATGAAAATTGGATGCCTAATTAATTCGACTCCATTGGCCTTGTAACCGAAGTTGGATCCAGGAGCAAAATGTATAGGTAAATTTGACCAACAAAAATCATTATATTTTCTTTTTTCCAAATTGTTCATAATTGTTAATTGACAGCAAATCTTGTAATGTCAATTTATTACTGCATCATATTATAAAAATATTCAAAAAGAAAAGAAAATATTTTAGCGTTTCAATTCAAAGGTGTTGTCATTTTACTCTTTTAACTTATAATGTGCCATGCAGTGATAATGTGAAGAATAGTTATGGTACGACTAATTCCTAGTAGTTTGGAGGATTATATGTCATGGAATATAACGGTGGTGAAATTTGAAATTAAACTGAAACTTAGTGACTCAATTGAGATAAAATTAAATTTTAGTACCTCAAATAAAATTCTGCATAAAGTTCGGTGATTAGGATGAAAGTTACTCAAATGTGACTTTATTGAAACTTGCATTGCATGAAAGCGAATCAGTTAATATATGAGAACTTTCTCACCTTAAGCGTGCGTCACTCGTTAAATTTTTTGAAACGTTCAAAAATAATATTGAAGGGGGAAAAAAAAAATTTAAATATCAGTCCGTGGGAGGGTTCATTCGTGTTGATTATTTTAATTTGATAACTCAACTTATATTTTTATTTTGTAAATAAGGGAATCAAACGAGGCTAAGATTATGCCACAAAATTACTCCAGAAAGTTAGACGATGATTAGCAGGCAACGACGTCAAAAGAAGAAAAATGCTAATGCAATTTGCAAGGATTCTTTAAGCATTTCTTGAACTCGGCACCTTAAACAATCTCTTTCTTTCAATGTACATATTCCCTTCAACCCCCGGTTGAGTGTGATTATACAAATTCTCATATCTACGATTTCAACACCGCTTGGAATTCCAAGGAGCCCATTACTTCTCAGGTGCCGTTAATGTTTTTCTAATTCAGTTGATTCTTGGATAAAACCGCTTAAGGGAAAGATTTTGACTGCTAGCGTTTTTCTTAATAACCCACTAACTCTTTCTGCAACATTCATTTTAAGGCGACGAGAGAAGGAGGAAATAAGTATTATCTCGAGATTTTTGGGAGTTTGGGGTTTTGAAGAAGATGGGCTTAATGGATTCGCAAGTTTTAGTTGCTCTTGGTCTTTCGCTTTTGGGTGGCTTGAGCACCTCTATTGGTGAGTAAATTTGAACTTTGCAGTTGAATAATTTTTTCTATAATGCAGTGATCAAGAACTTTACGTGGGTTATTGCTTATTTGATTATTTTTTAAATTTAAATTTTCAATTCAGCGTGTTTTTGTTGATGATGAGGTATGTGATTTTGCATTTGTGCAGTGGAATTATATTTTAAATTGTTGTCTTGTTCGGGTTTCTGAATCAATTTGTTTGTTTTTTCTTCTTATGTATGATTTGAGTAAAACATTGGGAATGTGAATACAGGTAAAAGGCCTTAATAATCTACTCACGTTTTAATATATTCACGGTTATGGCTAAGTAATCTGCAATCGTTAAGACATACCATGCCCCTGTTATTTGACAATGCAAAGACTTATTTAATCACGATATCTTGAAAACAAAGCATCAACATATTGATTGAGTGATGTTTGTGTCAACCCAGCTTTTAGCTTCAAGTTTCAAGCATTACATTCTTTTGAAGTTGGAATATTGGAAATATCCTCCACAAGACATGCCAAGGTGTTAGGTGCCCAACCTATCAACCAAATGTAGCCTATGACCATGTACCAAATGTTGAAGATGTAGGACATTCTTTGCAGATTTAGTTCATAATTATTTGTTTGGAAATTGTATGTAGCTTGATTTTTATTTTTTTTAATTGTCTGGAATTTTATTCATTGCAAAATAATTGATATAATAAAGTTTGCTAAGAAATTACCTTTTTCTTTTGTCTCGGCAAAAGCTCTTTCTCTTTCTTCTTCTTGTTGTTTGGTGTTATAGCGAAGACGAGTAATGAGTCTCATCAAATGTGTGAATATTAATAATCAGGTCGTACAATTGTGAATGTGTGGTTAATGTTTGACTTCAAATTATGATGAGATTATAATGAAATTGAAACGAGCTCTTAGTGTCGATTCTTGAAATGGTTTTAGCTTTATATTAAAACTATATGAAATGGTGAGTAGCATAAATAGTATATACAACAAATGTGTAAAAAATGACCATTTTCAAAAGGGGGAAGAAAAAGTCAATTATACAATCCTTTTATTTGTAGCTGTAGTCCGAGCCAGGGAAAATATAGCTTATGCTTCTTATTGTGTTTCTTAACAGGTGCATTTTTTGTCGTCATTAATCCGACGCCAAATCTGAAGACGCTTGGTGTTTTGCAGGTAAGTCCAAATGGAATTTTTTACCATATTATTATTTTTCTATGTTGTGAGACCCCCTAGAACCAAACATTTACAAAAGAAATTACTAAACTTTCGGGAACTACAGTTTTTAAATGATAGTTACCAATTAAAATATGATCATCAATCAACAATCTTTCAAGTTCCAGTAACTTCATTGCTTCTGTTTTTCATGTTTCAATGTCTATGTAGAATTAACTTCAGCATCCCTCAAAATCAGGGTTTTGCTGCAGGTCTTATGTTGAGCATATCTTTCTTAGATTTGGCCCACAATGCGATTAACTCCATTGGCTTCTTAAAGGGAAATCTCTGGGTGAGGCATCTTCTAAATATTGTGCTACATCGCTTTTTTCAGCATTAAATTCAATTAAATTATTTAGTGTTAATTGCTGATCTGTTGGCCTCACAGTTCTTTGCAGGTGTCATTTTCTTTGCCATTATTGCTAATTTCATCCCTGAGCCAACACTTTCTCCCATTTCAGACGTGAAAACCAGAAAGGTTTAATGTCGCTTTTTTCTTTCAATGAGTGGATGTCATTAAAGCTGGCTATCGTGGTGATAGACTGATATTTTCGGTAAAATTTCAAACGAAATAATTTTTGCTTGACAACAGAAAAATGAGGATGAAAGGGGCAAGGATATGACAAAAAAACATCGCCGCCAAGTCTTGTTTGGTGGAATCATCACAGCTATAGGTCAGTCTGTTGTGTTAATTTTTCACCTTCCTCCAGATTATGAGTAATAATATCCTCTTGGTTGCTATAGTTATTGTGAATTCAGTTGGAATATAGTATCAAACAGTTAAGCGAAGGGAAAGTGTCATTTGGGTTAATTGATTGTCTCTTTATATACTGAAATTGAAAAGACTTGGCCACATACCATTTGCATGGAATCTTGTCTGAAACCTGTACATGTTCTTGCACCTTCTAAGGAGTAAAACGATTAAATATGAGATGAATGGTTCTTCACAAGTCCATTTGGTCCTTGCGTCATTTGCGAAAAGATTCAATGAAATTATTACTTTTTCACCTACATCTGACCATATTAATTTTGATCTCTCTCTCATTTCTAACATGTTCTACTGTGGATTTTACGACTTTTATGAACGGAACTTCTTTAGCCTAATGCAAGACACATTGCCAGTCACCTAGAAGTCATCTTTCCTTTAATTTATCCCTTATTGGTGCCACTGCCACTTATTGTATATATTTTTATTTCTTATTTTATCCATTTAATGTAGCTAAATATCCATCTTAACATTCCTCTTTTCCACTACTTTTATCTTACAGATATTTTACCCTCCAGCATACTCTCTTCCATAGAAGTCAACTCGTTTAACCATAGGTAGAAGTTGCCTTTTTAACTTGCATTCTCCTTGATAGAAGAGCATAATAAGAAAATTGGATCTTTGTTATGCAAACAAATAATATGGAATACAGCCATGTTGATTTGTGTTGAGTTGATAAGTTCTTTTGACTTTTAATTGGATTAGTAATCATAGGCTTGTATAAAACCCAGCCCTTCTCATCTATTATTTGGACTTCATATAAGTTCTTATTCACGGAATGGTCTCGTCTCAGCTATTCAACATATGATGCACCAGTAGTGAAGATATGGTATAAAGTCATTATGATGTTGATATGTTTCCCTCAGACTGAAACTCTTTACTATTCTATTTTCCCCCCCAGGTATTAGCTTGCACAATTTCCCCGAGGGAATGGTAGTGTTCCTTGGGTCAATCAAGGTATATGTATTGTCCCTCTAGTCTTTGTGTATGAAATTAAAATTATTTTTTGTACCTATTTTATATGATCCTGTTGCCACAGTAGCCTAATAAGCAGAAAATAAGAAAATCAACGCAGCAAAATAAGTAAATCACCGAACAGCAAGGCCAACTCAATGGAATTTTCTGTATTAAAATGAATTTTGAACTAACATCAATTGTAGACTACTCTTCACTACAATTAGAAGAAACTGAAATAAAGCGAATGGCAATAAAAAAATGGATAGATGGACGTTCGAGAGGTCCAGACTCTCCCCAGATTTCTCTTGAATTTTTCCCTGCGTTTTCTCCTCCTCTTTTCTCCTTATAAACTAACCATTAACCGAATTTGTTTTGAGCACATGCTGGTTGTTTTTCTCTTCCCTGTTCTTCCTTTTCTGCCCTTGCCTTCCCTTTGCGTCTCTGATATTTAATTAGCACATGTGGTCCCTTCTTCTTAACCAACAACATAGGGCTGGAGAAAGGGCTCACACTAGGCCTAATGATGCCAGCCGCTAACATCTCCTTCACCAATTTTTCAATCTCATTTTTCTGACTGTAAGGGTAGCGATACGGCCTGATGCTTACTGGTCCAGCCCCAGGCTGTAGTACAATTGCACGGTCTCTGCCTTGACGTGGTGGCAATCCCCACGGTTCTTGGAAGATCCCTTCAAATTCCCTCAATAAACTCTCCATCTCCTTCGGCCACTATGCCTGCCTTCCAATCCCGTCCTCTACCTTGACCGATAAACTACCCAACTCCAACAGGACTCCCTCCCCACTTTCCTTAAATGCCTTCGTCATCGTTTTCAAGCCAACTAATTTTTACTCAAACTAGGATCACCTTGTAGGGTAATTGTTGTCTCTCCCACCTGAAATCGCATCAACAGGGACTTCCAATCAACTGACATTCTCCCCAATGATGACAACCATTTCATCCCCAATATAACATCAGAACTGCCCAACTCTGAAGGAAGGAAATCATCAATAATTTCCAGATTTTGGAGCTTGAGGACAACTCCTTTACAGACCCCAGCTCCTTGCATAGCAAAACCCATTCCCATGATTACACCGTAGCCCATCGTCTCTGTTCGGGGTATTTCCAATTGCTAGACCAGTTCTGCCGAAATAAAATTGTGTCGCACCATAGTCCACTAGCACCACTACCTCTTGTTCTCCAATGACCCCTTTAATCTTCATGGTGTGGGGCGAAGTTAATCCCACCACCGAGTTGATAGAAAGCTCCACCGCCTCACCCTCTTTTCCTAACAGTTGATCCTCGTCCCCTTCTGGTCGTAGGTCCCTCTCTTCCTCGACCATCGTTGGATCCTCATTTTTCGTGAACCAACATTACTTGCAGCTCCCTGTTCTTGCTTCGATGCCCAACAGTATATTTTTCGTCGCACTAGAAACATAGCCCCTTCTCCCTTTCGCTTGTAATTCTGCCTCACTCAACCGTTTGAAGGGGTACTGTCGTTTCTCCCCACGACCAGTGGCGATGACCCCATGGTTGGGTTAAATTGGGAAGAGTACTGGGAAGGGGGAGGACTAGGATTGACGTTTGGGAACGTTCTGGACGGCATCAGAGAGTTCCTTAGTGGGTTGGGATTGAGTTGGGCTAGATTCATGAGATGAGAAGAGAATCCACCTGCCCTATTTCTTGCTAGACCAACCCACTGCCCTTGCCTCAACATATTCTTCTCATCTATCTTGTGGGCCATTTCCATTATTTCTTCCAGCCCACTGGGCCTTAGCACCCTTAACTCAGCCTTCACCTTAGCCTTTAGCCCGTTAATGAAGTGGCCTTCTAATAGTCGGTCTGGAATTTCCGATAAAGGTGCAGTCAACGTCTCAAACCATTGCCGGTACTCCCTCACCGACCCCTCTTGCCGGAGAGCTAAAAATCTCTCCACGCCAGTTCCTCCATGACTTGCTTGGAAATGATTAAGTACTAATCCCTTCAATTCTTCCCAGTTTGCTACCCTTTTACGCCTCTGTTGCCATTGATACCAAGAGAGGGCTTTTCCTTCAAAACAAATCGCGGCCGCCTCCAGTATTTCCACCTCAGAAATCTATGTAAGGATAAAATAACGTTCAGCCTTAAACACCCATCCTTTTGGATTATTTCCTTCAAACACCGAAATCTCCGGTCGTCGATTTCTATAGTCCAGGCGCCACAGTCCTCGAGTTGGTTCTCCATCTCCAATTGTTACTGCCGAATTCCCAGTGAACTCAGAAGCAGGAACTTCCTTCGGTCCTTTCATTTTCCGTTCCCTTTCTTGATCATCCCAGCGGTGCATTACGAGTTTGAATTGCTCCATCATCAAACTCATGTTCTTCTCTATACCATGAATCCGTTGCATTTCAGACTTCATCACTTCCATCCCAGCGTGAATCGTTTCCATTCTTCCCTCCAATTCCCCTACTCGATCAGTAAGCGTCATTTCGGGAACCTCGCTTTGATACCAAAAATGATATGATCTTGTTGCCACAGTAGCCTAATAAGCAGAAAATAAGGAAATCAACGCAGCAAAATAAGTAAATCACCGAACAGCAAGGCCAACTCAATGGAATTTTCTGTATTAAAATGAATTTTGAACTAACATCAACTGTAGACTACTCTTCACTACAATTAGAAGAAACTAAAATAAAGCGAATGGCAATAAAAAAATGGATAGATGGACGTTCGAGAGGTCCAGACTCTCCCCAGATTTCTCCTGAATTTTTCCCTGCGTTTTCTCCTCCTTTTTTCTCCTTATAAACTAACCATAAACCGAATTTGTTGTGAGCACATGCTGGTTGTTTTTCTCTTCCCTGTTCCTCCTTTTCTGCCCTTGCCTTCCCTTTGCATCTCTGATATTTAATTAGCACATGTGGCCTATCACTATTTTACCCCTCAAACGGCGTTCACGCATAATGCCTGTGACAAAATCATTCTCAACAAATCCATAAGAAGTGATCCCTTTTTTATTTTCATCGGGTCCTTGTAGAGACCAAAGATTTTGAGCGACCGATCTGTTTCCAAGTCCTAGGTTACACATAGAATTGTATAAATCAAAAGCATGGATCTGTTATAAGCTATATTGACCAAGATTCTTATCAAACTAAATCGCGAGATTTAACAACCAAGTGTAGATGGGCCTAGTTAGGTATCTCGCTACCCAGAAATTATTTTAGTTGTCACTTTGGGTTTCTAATTGATACTCAGAACTGGAAGAGTGACCTTTTTGAGGTTTTTCATTAAATGCATCTCCATGGACGTTCTAAAATTGAAAATGGTGATTGTGGGGCGAATTAACCTTGGCTGTGTGAAAAATATTAATGTGTTCATATGTTGGTGTATATTGTTGATCAGTCCCGTGATAACAACATATATTCAATAAAAATATCAACAAAGTCTTTAATTCAAGGAAATTTTTTTTTTTTTTTTTTTTTTTTTTTTTTTTTTTTTTTTTTTTTTTTTTTTTTTTTTTTTTTTTTTTTTTTTTTTTTTTTTTTTTTTTTTTTTTTTTTTTTTTTTTTAATTTAAATATTCGTGTTCCAGCATGATGTTGATTTTGATTTATATCATGACATGTAATTCTCCTCATAAGGTATATGTAAGAATACATAAATATTTACATGAAATAGATGATAGTGCTGTTAGATGCCTTGTGGATGCAGGACATTTTTATTGGTTTTGATTACTTATATATCTTGGTCCAGTTTCTTTTATGATGGGGCCTGTTTAGGTTTTGACAGAAATCATAGACAACCTTCCAATTTCCATTGGTTCCGACGAAAAAAAAAAAAAAATTCCTTTTGTTCCCTGTCTTTTGTCTGGTAAGGTCTATGCATGAATACAGAAATTATATTACATTCTGCTTTCAATGGGAACTTCGTCTGGGATATAAAAATTTGGGAAAATTTTCAATTTGGTCAGTTTCTTAAAACAAAACTCTACAGGTGCATGGGTTCTCTTCAAACACTATGTAATGATGAGAGAATCAATGAACTGCCCCAATTTACTTTGGGATTTTTCTCTCTCCAAATGTTGGTGGGTTAAGGCTCTGTTTGAGCCCTGTTTTTATGTGAAAAATTAGTTTTGTAATAGTTGTTTTTTTGGAGAATTTGTAGTTAAAAAGAAAGAAAAGTTTTAGATTTACGTGCAAAATTATTTCATTAGAAGAATGTGATTAAAAATGAGTTTGGAGAAAAATTAGTTTTTAGAGAATGGGCTCAAAAAGAAAATATTTCAAAAGAATTTAGCTTAAAAGACATTTACTAACATCTTTACCTGTGTACACTTTTGGGTTGATATTTATAATCACTTCTTAAAGTGCACTGTAAATATTGGTTAACGACGGTAACTATTTTTCCATTTCGTGTATTCTCTAGTGCAAATTGTTTCTCGCTTGCTTTTTGGGGGGTGCATTTAATTGTGATTTTTAAAGACTTTTTAGGATTTAAAAAGTTAAGAGGTATTCAATGTAGATTTTTTAGACCCTCTAAAAGTATTGATGTATTCAATTGAGACGTTGATAGGCTTTTAAAAAGTCTTTAAAAGTCAAGGTGTGTATTCAATTAAAATTTTTAGAAGTTTCCATAAGTTTTGGGGTATTTAATTTGTTAATGACTATGAAAGACTTTTATAAAAGTTTTTAGGGCACTAACCTTTAAGCAGAAAGTACAAAAAAAATATAAAAATTTGTCTCTCATATATCTTATGATTTTGGGAGACTTACGTAAAAAAAATTTTGATATGCATTTTTTGTTTTTTTCAATATTTCTCTTTTCCTTTCCTTTCTATTAGCATTAGAGTCATGATTAAAAATTACTTTTTATATCGATTCTTTCTCTCTTTTTTGTTGTTTATCTCCGTTTTCTATTAAAAGAATTAAATTGTATGATTCTTATATAATTAAGATGATTTAAATTTTTATTCTTTGAAAAAAAAAATTATTAGATGGGGAGGGAAAAGGCAATTGTGGGAACCACCACCTCGTATGTGAGAACCTCCCACCGTTGCATTAGATTCACGTGAATTTTATTTTTTGAAAAAAAGTTTTCAAAAGTCTTTTAAATTCTATGAAAGTTTATAAAAATTTCAAAATAAAAGTCCATAGAAGTTAAGGAAAGATTTTCAAATCTATAAAAATTCTTGAAATTCACAAAATTCATCACTTAAAAAGTTTATAGAAGTTTCCAAAAGTCTCAATTGCAAACGCTCCCCTTAGTTTCACTAGTTGCCGGGCTTTGCATATTTTCTGCTAAGATCCAAAAACTGACTGGTGAACCGATCCAACTGTAAACAAATTATTTAAAAATTAATAGTTCAAGTAGTTTTTCGAGGTTGAGTCACTAGTGTTTTTGCATGCTCGTAGAATAAGTTCTTTTCATGAGGTTAAGTTACTAGAGGTTCTCAATACTAACCATACTGTCTCAAAGTTAATTGGAGTTGCATCCAAGGATCCAATTGGGTTGTTTTTCTCCTATAAGATTTGAAAGAATGGACAAAAAAATGTCGTTGGATTGCAAATAATTATTTCATATTCGCCCTGCATATTACAATGAATCCGGAAATGGCGACGTCAACGTGTCAGATCTGATTACACATTTTACACTTTTAAGAAACGTATGCATAATGTTTGCTTTTCTTCCTGACGCCTGGAATTTTTCTAATTTTCAGGGGGTCGCGGTTGCACTTCCTGTTTATTTTGCTACTGAAAGGTATAATGTGAAATAATAACTTAAATATGTTTCTTTTTGTAAACACGTTCACGTTTAGAGACTTCAACTCAAGCGAGTAACTGAACCTAGCATATGAAAGCTATTTTTCGTATATGCTAAGTTTGTTTTAGTTCTTGACTTTTGAACTATGGGAGATCAAGCACGATTAACCCTTGATAATGAAATTTTGGTCACTTCACTTTGTATCATGATATGGTAGCTAGTAGTATAACCTAAGATTTGAGGAAATGAAAAGTGGATGCTATTTCATGATTCTGAAATCTTGTATTGATACCCTGTATTGGTATTTTTGTGTTTTCGTCTTAGCAAATGGCAAGCGTTCAAGTTAGCTACCCTTTCTGGCTTAGCTGAGCCTCTTGGTGTAATTATTGTAGGTCTGTCCCCTGCACTTAAACCTAAATATATTGATAATTAAATAAATGTTAAATTTTCAGATCTCGAGTTTTGATACTTGTAAACAATATGCAGCTTACCTATTCCCGAGCAGCTTAAGTCCTGAAATTCTGGAGGGCCTCCTGGGATCAGGTATATATATTTCCTGAGCTTTATTAACTGACTAAAGGAGATTCCACGGTTTAATCCTTGTGAATTTTATTTATTTATTTATTTTTACGGATTTTGTGATGCTTCCAGTCGGCGGGGTGATGGCCTTTCTAACATTGCATGAAATGCTGCCATTGGCATTTGATTATGCTGGACAGAAGCAAGCTGTCAAGGCCGTTTTCTTTGGAATGGCTTTCATGTCTGCTAGGTACATTACTTTTGACTAAATATTCAAAGCTTTTCTAAATGAAAACTCAGTTTTAGTTTAACTGGAAGCTTTAACTAAAATCATTTTTAGCTTTGTAGCCACCCCCACCTTGAAAAAGATCGTAGAATATAACCGTTTAAAATTAAAGCGTGAGCAAAGAAAGTTTGAAGATTCAATTTTGATGAAGAAAAGTGGACTTAGAAATATATGAGCATGTCTGGCAAAAGCATAAATTGGTAAAACATACATTTTATTCAAGCTTTTTGTGTGACCCACAATTTACCACCCACTATTATTCACATATTCAGTGAGCACTACCAAACAAGCACTTTTCTAAACTGCTATCTTTTAATTGCTTATTCTTTTGATCACTTTTGACTTTCAGCTTCCAAGGTTAGCAATTTTATGGATTGTGGTTTAGATTTTCCAGTTCTGTTCTATTATTTGCATATCCTCCTCTTATTCCTCGTCCCCGAAAGAAACTAGAAAAAGTAAAATTTATACCCTTTTTTCCTTCATTTTGCAGCCTGTATTTTCTTGAGATCAGCTTACCAGAGGATTTAAGCCTGTAGGCGTCGCTCTTGCATTCTATGGTGCGCGAGAACTACGTCATGAACAAATGCGCAATAGGAATGACGGAAGAAAGGCTTGTTTTACTGTCTTCGGTCTCTATTCATCACAGCTCACAGAGGCAGAGGCATTACAGGATTCTATGAGATACATCGGAAAACTGTTTTCATGTAAAATGCAATTGTAAAATAACTAAAAATCGTTTTATTGTGCCAATTGAAAATTTCAACTATTATCAATTTCTTGGCTGCGTCGCATTTTAGTATATCACGATATGGATTTGTCGAGCATATTACAACTCTATTGTATTATACGATCCTTCGTGTTTTCCCAATTTTCTGAAAAAATTCACAGGACAAAATCTCCAAGTTGATGCTGTCTCTACTTTAGTCTAAAGCAAATATCAAAAACCAAAGTTCTACTTTGGACGAAGGCTGATTAAAGATTGAATCCTGTACGTGCAAAAGGATAAAGTAATTCCTGTAATTCATACGTATTTGATTGAGTTAAAAAAAATTAAGTCAAAATAAACCATTAATTTTAACCATGCATTTTATGAGACTCATAGCTTTTATCAAAATTTTAATTACTTTTTATCAACTTTTAACAAAATTTACTAAATATTTTATTTTTGATAAAATCAAGAATTGCATGCAAGATGTCTATTTAGCTGCATATTCCTAGGGGTTGATTATTGAGTATTATTTCTTCGTGATAGATGTCGCGATTTGTCTCAAATATTTCATTTCTGACTGTGAAACTTTTGTATTTTCTCTAATTTATTTATGAAAGTTTATATTTTCCCTTGAGTAACTAAAATTAAATTCATCAGTATGTACTTTCACCAATACAGTTAGCTATTTAACTTTTTGGTAATTTTTGTTCATATATTCGTACACATGCACGATCTTCTTAACATTCCTTCTCTGCACTCATTTAATGACCTAACATTGGATGCCATGCAACTGGTTTAGTTCAATATGTTACGTACTCTTCGAACATTTATAATTGAATCTAAATACCTAAAAATAGTCAAACAATAAACGTGGACATCCGAACATTATTTTTCTTGATTGTAAGATTATTAATTAGAACTACTTGAATTGGATTGAAACATTCGGTTCGATTCCATGTTGTAGAATTTCTGCAGCATTCAGTTCTGATCGATTCTCAAACTGAAGTATGTCCAAGGGCAGAGCTACTTCAGGGCTAGTGCAGGCACCTGCCTGCACTGGGATTCCGGCAGCAGAAGATCTTGATGAAGATTTTTTTTAACATTAGCCCAAATCCAATCCAAATGCCCATTACATTTTAGAACACAAAAATCAGAATTTCAAATGCCGTGAAATTGTGAATACGGACAATCCCCTTCTCGGCATTCCCATTCAAAAATGCAAATCCTTCTAGCTTTTCTCTTATTCTCTTAAATTCCGTCGTGCCCGTGGAGTGAATCATATTCCGTCCAATTGTCGATTGGGATCCAATTCTCTGGTGGTCTCACCCACTTGGATTGGGTATTTTTTTTTTTTTTTTTAATTTTTCAGAATTTTTGTTTACTCCACGAGTTTATAAATCAAAGCAATATATGGGACGAATTTATATTTTAAGTTGAACCGATTTTGGTTGGTTTATTATTATTATCTATAGTTTAAAATCTAGTTAGTTTACTTTTGAGTCTTTTGTTTTGTTTTTAAGTTTCTATCTCGAGAGTAAGGTGGCCATAGATAATTAGTTTTGGCTGATTTCAAATAGACAAGTTTTGGCTAAAAAATCACTGTAGCAGATGATTAAAATTGTGCCCGCACTCGACACTGTCTCCGGCTCCGCGGCTGAGTATGTCCACTTCTAAAATGTATGCTTAAGTCAAGAAGAAAAGATAGAAAAACTACAATAGAACAACTAATTAATTTTGTTGTAAAATAAATGATCTGAAACATGTTCATCAAACCTGGTATACCCCACAATAACAAACAAAATAGGTCACAGTAGATTCTGATAAAAAAAAATTTTTACTTATTACTGTCTACTATTTTATCAGCCAAAGAAAAGGAACTTCATAAAGAAAGCAGCTGGTTGACAGATGATACAATGATGCATTACATACTCCAAGCCTCAAACATTTGAATACTGATGCCCATCCCTCTCGGTGAAGTACAATTGTTGTTACTGTTCTATTAAATCAACTTGTACGAATATTAAATTGCTCCCATACCTTGCTATTATAGACACCCACGTATGGGAAAACTCCACCAATGTTCCACAACCTATTGTCATGTTTTGTGACAAGTTAGTGTATTATTACACAGTCAGTCCTCAGTGAAGGAAAATGTCTAAATTCTGTTAAATCATTGGATTATGCTTGTTGTACATAAAAATAGTGTATAAAGTATTACATAAAATGACATGGAAAAAAAAATTGGATGAAAAAATTGACTGTGTTTTAAACTCACAAATGATAAAGTAACATGTGGCATTATATAACCCATTATATTAAACTTGATGTACATATAGCAAGGTCCTAAATTATTACGTAATTCCCACGTCTAACTTTATACACGAAGTTAAGTTTTGCTTTTCAATCCAAAAATTTTCATGAGAAATTTTTCTCCAACCATCTCTAGAGGCATAGGCTCATAAATTAAATTCGTGATTGATCTTTCTCAAGCTATCAGAACAAGGGTTTTAAGCCCCTGTTTGATTTTCATTACATTACATTACATTACATTCTATTTTTCTCTCTCCTATTTTCAACCACACAATCTTCCATAAAATAATATTACACATAAATCGAAAATTTTTCTTTCTTTTTCAACCACTCATTTTTCAAAAAACACTATTCTATACATTAAATTTTCCCCGTAATGGGGGCCAAACAGGGGCTTAAAATAGCCAAGACAACTCAATAAAGGATGGTTGACATTCATTAATGTCTCAATCCGTTATAGGGGTTAATTTAGGATTGAATGATATCGAAAAACCAATTGCAATGCTTTATATAGCCCTTTTTTGAACCTCATTTTGAGGGGAAAAATGAAATTTTGAATAGTGTATTGATGTGAAATGTGTGGTTAAAAAATAAAGAAAAATTTTGGATTTACGTGTAATATTATTTTATTGAAAAATGTGTGGTTGAAATTATGTCAAAATACTATAGTAGAATTTATTTTCTTCAAAAAATTGAAAAATTAAATGGGCTCAGGGCAATTTTGGGTTGGAAGGAGATTGACCTGCGATTGCTAAAAGATAAAAAGAAGCTTGACTAAAAAGACCCATCTGCGGAACAAGGACGAAAGGGTCGTTCTTCCATGAATAAAAGTTACTCTAAGAATAAAAGAGTAATCTTTTTCAAAAGCTCACATCGTAAGGAAGATCTTGGAATTGTAGTATGCAAGATCAAACCTTATTATTGTTATACACAAATTTTTCATATAGCAGTAATTCAATATAGTCCTGTTAAGTTCCGTCGATGGTTGAAAATCTGTCTAATGAATTCCATCAAGGGCCTTCTATATGCAAAAAATAAAACAAAGCTATCTTTCTACCTTCCTACATTTTCATCAAAGAGTTTCTCAATGTAAAAATGCTTCTATAAATCTACAAACCAGGAGTCAGGGGATAGAACTTAAAAATATATATTTTCTTGCATTTGATCGCAGAGATTGATAGACTATGATGGCCTTAATGAAAATCAGGTTACAATCCAAAGAAAATTTGTATAGTTTTCATTATCAAGGTCACATTGCCCATCAATAATCGTTATATGTATAATTAAGTATATATGTGACGTTACATTACATGTACGACAAATTCTGATGATAATTCCATATATACTGTTCATGCATCTGGATGTTTTCCTCCAGTCTTCGAGCATATTATACTTTGACATGACATCTCAATAGCCTTTTGACTCATCATAACCCAACCCCACCGTATTGTAGTCCCAACGACTGATTGGAAAGCTGCCACCAAGATCCTCTCGTCGAAGATATTCGGTTACTCATACACGTGAAGTATCGATTTCATACATTTATAACTTCGTTTTTTATCCTAATTTTATTTTATAAATAGAGAGCCGTCGTTACGATTTTGTAATCATCATTAAAAAAAGAAAAAAAATGAAAAAAGAGAGTTTAGAGGAAATAGGGTGTGAGAGTTTTATCTGATAAATTTCTTTTCATAATAGTGATACTGCTGCAACGAAAAAGACGTAGTCTCATATTAAGGTGAACATCTATAAAAATTTTTTTGTATTTTTGAATGTTTTATCTTCTTTCTGCAATTTATTGCTTTCGATTATAACATTTATCTTCTTGAGGTTTTTATATTGCTAAGATGGCATTTTAAAGCTTGAAATTTTACTTCGATGTTCTTCTTCAAAGATGTTCAAAATAGTATGATATAATTTTGTCATGTATAGATGTGTAAAAAGAATTTTGACAATAACCTTTTGGTAATTGGATAAGAATATTTTCAATTATTTGGAGAGAATACAATTTCATTAATTTACGATTAGAGTCCTTTTGAGATCAAATCACCTTTTGATTTAGTTCAATTTATTTTTTGCACCCATTAACGAAAACCACTAATTGGTGCGCATTAGTTTATTTATGTTGGATAGAAAGTAAGGTTTTCGGCCGTATATGGTGAGGATACACACACACACACCCCTATATATATATATGTGTGTGTGTGTGTGTGTGTAGTGTTTTAAAGAACATAAGATGTTGCTAGTCGAAAAGTCATATTTCAAGTTTTTACGAGCCTAAGAGTAGGCACTCAAGAGTAGAACGGCAAAACGTAACTAAGTGAGAAGGTCAAACTTCGCTTGTAGGCGAACTTTTTGGAACCATGTATATTTGTATGTTTTTGTTGTGTATGCATATATAAAATATCATTATATATGTATATTCTCTGTTTAATAAAATTTATACCACTTTAAAGAGCCAAAATTTGTCACCCAATTTCTTCAGAAAATGAATCTCATTTGTCTGCGAAGAGATTTGTCGTTTAATTATTTCACCAACTTTCTGGCAAGGCCCTAATGTCCTTTGAAAGGAGTATTAGGCTATTAGCCATGATTATGATTTCATAAAATTCAAGGAACAATAATAAAATGGTAGCTGATTAACTTTTAAACTACTACTATTATTATAAAATAATTCATGTTGCATTATATGAGACATTTAATTATGTAAATCTGGTAGGATACTAAGAAACAAAGAAAAAAAATATCATATCATAATAAAATGAACTAATATTTTTCTTGAATTTACGTTAATCAATAATTTTGTACTGAGCCTTAATTTAAATTTGGATGTTTTGATAAATGTAGCAAGAGATAAAGTTTAGTGCAAACTTGTTGCTGGATGATGGATTAGCCTTCATCAGTCGACATCAAATTTTATCGGGAATAAAATTTACTTTTATTAATTGTTATATCGAAAATTTAAATTGAAAACAATAAAGAAAAAAAGAGAAATAATCCGTCAAAGCACTTTCCCTCCTTGAAAGAATCGAAATCATTTTTATCATTGGAAATGTCATAACTATTATATATTTCATCTTTATCCATAATTTTGAATCGAAAAAACTGCCAAATTAGGATTAGGAAATGGAAAATAAACAGTGACACAAGTGTTAAAAGGCAAAGTGTTCTTAACAAACCGCTTGTTCATCAGTTGATAACACCAACATAAGAAATTTCTCACAAAGAAAATTAAGAAATATGCTTTTCAACTGATTCTCATGCACCATTCAACTTAGACCTAGAACTCAACCACGTTTAAATGACCAAATAATAATCATTACTTCTTTTTTTTTCCCTCCATACAAATTACTGAGAGGACTCATTGTCTTGCTCAATATCAGATGCTGGTTCATCCTCTTCTTCAAAGCAATCAAAACCATAAGCTGCATGGCCATTGCCAAATGCCTTGATATGATCCTTAAGAGACCTTTTATGTTTAAAATCAGAGCCACAAGTGCAATACCATAATTTTCCACAATTCTTCTCATGGGTTCTCCAATCACCTCTCACAGCAAAGGCTTTTCCGCATTTCCTGCACATAAATGCCTTAATCCCATGTTTTCTTTTGTAGTGAGTTTGAAGGGTTCTGAAATCTTTGAGGGGTTTTGCTCTTGGGTGATCAATGTTGTTCCTGCAATCTGGTGCACAGCAATAGCAAGGGAGCTTAAGCATGGCTGTTGGCTGTATACCCCTTAGAGATTCTGGTCCTTTTCTATACTGAGATCCATGTCCCCACATGTGCATCTAAGTGAAAATATTCAAAAATGGAAGAATTATCCTCTAAAAAATCACTAACTATCAGATATATTAATGTCTCAGTGTTTGTAAAGTAAATTAAAAACTTAACTGCATTATCTAGCATCCAATTCTTTCTCCATTGAGTCATATTCTTGGGAGTCTCGAAGTACATAAAATTTTGATTTAAAATATTAGTTGTATACTTAAACTACTTATTAAAATTTAGCATTGCTACTAATAAGATTTAATTTTTTTTTTTTTTTCATTTGAATACTGTTAAATATTGCGTAATCTACCTTAAAAAAGAAATGCCAAAAGAGGTTGTCAAGAAGCCTCTTGGCAATACTAAACATGCATCCAAAATGAAAAGAGCATATATCTGAAAATTTTCATACTTTCACAAATGTAGCAATTTTTGTTGGAATTTCTATTTTAGATTTTGTTTGCCAGATTGAAACTAAAGAACTGTAGAACCCTGCTTTGAGCTACTGCGCTTTTGATTCACAAGAAAGCAATAGTAATGGGTGGGGTTTTTATGTTTTCATCAGTATAAAGTCTTTTGAATCTTGATTGATTGCACATAAACCAACAAAAGTGTGGGATTTTCAATGTATTTTGAGCTGGGTTTTGTTTTATTAAGGTTGAGTGTTCAGATTGAGAAACCTTTTCTTATTCCTGATCTTTGATGAAAATAATCTGAAACCAGGAAGAAATAAACTGGAAAATGTTCAGTTTTACACACCTACCAATGTGTGAAAATACAAACTTCAAGGACAAAAAGCATAATGTTTGTGTTGTTCAATCAAATAAAGAGAGGCGCTGACCAGTTCTCAGTTCGACCAGGTAGATTTATACAGATCCCAAAAACAAGTCATGCATTAAAAAAAGAGAAAACGGAAAAGAAGAAATTAACAATTGAAAATTCGAAAGAGAAAAAAAATATTAAGGTGAAAGTTTGAAGAAAATTGTTGAAAATTAACCCTTAAGGACCCATCTAATCACTGATGATCCTATCTATCCAACAAAGCAAAAAGTGAAAGGTTGAAATTACACTAGAAAAGATGTGTACAAAATAAAGAGAGGGATGGGTTTCCTCTTTTTCTGCAAAATCAAAAGGGAAAACATAAAGCGAGAGGAGAAGTTAAATTAAGAAAAAGTTTAGAGCTTTTAGCATCATAAACTAACATACCTGCATGTTATTGTATCTATTGAAGGTCTTGTAGCAAAGAGGGCATGAAAACTGAGTTGGACCAATCAAAATCTGGGCAGGGGTTGGGATCCAATACTGACCCTTGTTGATAGGGCTAGTGCAATATCCATTAGCCACAGTAACTTCTTGATCCTTGTTGGTACTTGAAGAAGAGGAAAGCCCTGAGATCAGATCAGCTGCATCTGGTGTAGGAAGCCCTAAATTCAAATCAACAGTTACAGTTTCATCATCAGCATCCATCATAAAACTCTCCTCATTGATGTTCTTGTCCATTTCCATTGCAGTACTGCAAGATGATGAACCTTGTTCTTGATCTGTACTTCTCTTTGTTGGGCTTAAACTCAGTAGTGGAAGAGCTTCTCTGATTGCTGGGGAAGGGGGTGAGGATTGGTACCAAGAAACATTGTTAAAACTTGTGGAGTAATTAAGATGGTAAGGATAAGTGGAAGAAGATAAGTGATTATTAGGGTACCGGAGATTGAACCATCCTCCATTCAAATAATTAGGGTAGGGATCGGTCATGATGATAGGTACAAAAATTAAGTGATTATAGAGAGAGAAGGGGGGCTGAAACAAGAATACAACTGACTGGAGAAAGTTGAAAAGGTAAGGACTGAACAAAAACACCAAATTTAAACTAGTGGGAAGGACTATGGGTGTTAAAGAAAATGACACAGAAATGATATAAAGTAAAAACCCTAGTGAATAAAAAAGGAGAGATAAGATATCACTTGTGAATTTGAACAAGAGAGTAAAAAGGAAATTAAGAGATAATCTTGGAACTTTGTAACAAGAAGTCCCTTTTGAACTGTACAAATGTACAGCTAAATAAATGTAATTTCACCTATAATCCATCGTACCACGCTCCATGTACATGGAGAGTACCTACAAAATGTCATTTGACAACACTGTATTGATCTATTTAAATCCATTTATTGTCCAATATCTTATACAATTCTGTCACTTGTCATTCCATCGGGAAAATCACCCTGTACAAGGGGCTCTCAACTCTAATCCATTCGAACAATGAGAATGGACCAAGATAAGGTCAGGAAATTAGGGTTTGAAGTTGTCTTCCATTTTAACACTCCAAACAAAGAGAAAGGTAGATAGACATACATATACATACAACACCATGGGGTGGAGTGGGGTGGGATAGAAGTGTATGTGTATGTATTTTGGTGTTTCTTGGGAAACAAATAGTTTGAATCTCATACCGGCAAATGCATTGATGGGTGAGCTTTGGTCGGGTCCGCACTGTACTCATCACTGCTCATTCTCTGTTCACATTTCTTAGTCTTGTTTTTGCATGTACATCAAGGTTACTGTTCAGTCGTCACCCCCCTGCCCCTCTAGCTATGGTTTTCTGCATAGTTGTTTCTTCGCTCCTTCTGTCCATTGAAAAATTAGAAAAGCACCCGGCGCTATTAAGTCCAGTGTAATAACTATCAAGCAATTATATAAATCTCTTTAACTTGCATTATACCATGATTTACGATAATTTCAATAAATTTAATTATAAAAATTGTGCATGTGTAGTAAAAGTTAAAATCAATAAAATTGTCAAGGCGAGTGGAGCTCAACAATTATAACGATTGTAACAAAGACTCATATATGATACTAGTACGAAAATTCTTCTTCTTAATTACTTGGATTTGTTAGTATATATGTACAAGAAAATATATGCCTGACATTATTTGATTTGAAAATATCATCCACATTTAACTGAAAAATGTTTAATATTTGATCAAACTTTGTTGTTAGTTAATAGCTTAAACTCTTAGACGGTTAAACAAAACTAACAAAAATGCTAGAAGACATTTGGTTCCAATCACTGAACAGCATGGCTAACCACGCCACTTTCTTGGCCCTACTGTTTGGATCTAGATCCTTCTTCTTTTCACATCCTAGAGAGAGAGCTTGAATGGACTGAAAGCCTCATCAATGGTGGGCTCCATAATATTACATTTATAGGTAGCTATTTGATGAAGTTATGAAATGTTGGTGTAAGAGGCTGGATTTAGAAGGGGCAATGGAATGGAGACAATACGAATGTCTGGGATTCTTTTCTGAATCTGAAACTAAAACAAATGAGGTTACTAAAAATTAGGCTTTATTTAAGAATGTTTTTGGGACCTAAATTTGCTTGCAATTAAATCTTGTATTCAATTTCAAACAGTTATTCACTGTTCTTGATTATCCTTATTTCCACCACACAAACATTTTGGGTGTACGAAAAATAAAACTAGTATTTTTGTATAAATATTCCTATTTGGGCCCAGGTTTTCAGTTAAATCAAGAACCAAACTGGACACGAGGGGGAGAGAGAGAATGCAAATCATAGTTTTTCATCTAGGCTGTTCCAAAAATAATAAGAAGATTATTTAGGAGTTAGAGGTGTAAAATTGGTTAGTTTGGCTCTAAACGATTTGTGACCTCCCTGAACTAAACATATTTCAATTTTTCTTGAAAAAGAAAATGAGAAAACTTAGAACTTACGTGTTTGGACCGGGCAAGCTTGTACCTAGTCAATGTAGAATAATGCCTAACAAATTGATGAAATAGCTTAACCTAAGAAGGAGTATTATCTTTTTCTTTTGGTACAAGATGTTAGCTAGTGAGTGTCCTTCTGTGCCAAACTTTAGGTATATATTCGAAGTCCATAAATTTTAAGCCGTTGTTCAAGTCAACAGAGGCTCGTGCTCGAGTTGAAACTAGAAATATTTACTAACTCTAATGACATATCTGTACTTATCCTGGGCTATACTGCATACAATAAAATAATATTGGGTTCTTATGAATTCCAATTTGATCATAAACAACATTTACACTAGCAATTCTTACTTAGATCTTGAATCATTCAAACCTATTTATAGCCTATAACTAGACGTTGAAAGTTTGTGCTTTTCTAGTTTAGCAATTAAAGTAGCCTGATAAATTTATAACTCTATTTTTCTCTAATCAATTTCAAGAGGAGAGCACAAGTTTAACCAAATGTCTAATTCATTGCAAATATTTTTGGAGAGAATGTTTGGATATTTTTTTTCCACCCTAGAAAGAGTGAGAAAAGAAGTTGATTGGCTCACGTAGTACTAGATAGATATTTGACTTCCCCACTTCCTTAAATGACCTGTTCAACGCACGCTACGGACTACTATTGTCCCCGTTTCTTGAGTTGTCAAAAGGTTACATTGATAAGAGAAATTTATAATTATCGTTCTCATTTTTACGTCATTCTACACTTTCGTTTCTAGCCTTCATTTTAATGACATCCCCAATCAAATAGTGATCCTGCTAGTCGATTTCAGTCAAAAAATGACTATCATCTGCCGATTGTAAGAAATAGGATGTCAAGAAATGAAAATCGTAGACAAGAGTGCAAAGGTACAAAATGGCAGCTACAATTTTTCCTAATTATGCTGATCTCAAGATAAATAATTTACTTTGCTATCTGAATATTGACCTTATTTGAAAAACAGTCTTGAACTAATCCAACAAAGTTTCATTGGGATTGAGGATAATTAAAAATATAGCTATATAAATATATTCATTTGTAGATTAAACAATGTGCACATTCTCAATGCATGGTGGACATTGGGTGGGAGACATTAAATGCATATTTCATTGCATGTTGATCCAACCGAGACAAATCGATAGAAAAATATAAGTGACAAATACCTAGATTTAAATAAAATATACTAACAGTCAAATGTTTCAAATAGTGTACATACTTTAAATGTCAAGAGAAATTAAACATAAAAAAATTTAATAAAAAATCATAAAATAATCAGAAAGGAACATTTCAGAAGAAATATTAAGTTAGTACGTAAGAAACCTTCACATGACAAAATATATGTACAAGGTTCACTTTTCTTTCATCATATTGTCCAGTCTAATTTATTAAATATGATCTAAGTTTTTCTTACGCCATAGTTAGTGTAGATGGAAAAAAATAAGATCTTATCAATTGTATATTTATATATTGTCTAATACCACATCCAACTATGTCATTTCTGAATGAGAGAAAAAAGAAAAAATGTGTAAAAATCAGGAAAAAAAAAAA